TAAGGAGGTCTGAGCAAGAAGGAATGTCGTTCAGAACGTACTTCTTCAAGTAATTATCCCAATCCCTGCAAACACTGTAGCTCAAGTCATCACAAGGAATGCCTAAGGAATGGCACAAGAAAGTACAAAAGCGAGGAACACAAATTTCGCAGGGACAATCGTTCTTATGAGTTTTGAATTTCTTATATGAAGAGACAGAACACTCGCCAAAGGCGCTCGGGATTGGATAATCCTCTGTAGCTAGAGAAGACCAGGCCCCCCTAACCCCTATTACGTTGTTTCTCTAACCCTTTTCAGACTTGATTGTGTCTTTACATATGGACATCTTTTCAATCGGGTAGAGGTGGTAGAATGGTTCCTCAAGTCGGATCTTACTAACCTTGTAATAGAGAAGAAGATCTATGATATCAAGATCCAGACCTCTGTCACGAGTCAGTACTAGCAGAACGGATAGGATCCTAAAAAAATTCGGATTTACCTGCAGAGGGGAGATCCCTAGTCTGTTGAAAACATAGTTAAAGAAAGGATGCAAAGGGAACCTAATGATATTCAACTGAAGATGGGTAAACAAGACTTCGCCTGGAAGAAGGCCAGCACTAGTCCTGATATTCACATCTTTAGGGCAATTTCTAATTTCTATATCGACAGGGAGATGAAGTTTCACGCAAAGAACATCTAGATCTACAAGTATGGCGAAAATGAATGAGGATTTTAAGGGAGAAAAAGAGATCTTCCAAAAGAAAAAGGCAAACAAAACTAACCTCAGAGGGAGAAAACGTCAAAGAGTACTGCAAGATCGCTGGAAAAAGGAGCTTTCGCAGAGGTTCGCCGGAGGAGATTTGATTTGATTTGAAAAAAAAAGCAAGCGAAGATTTGGCAAACAGTGATACAAGATAGCGACAGTAAAAAAAGATTGAGGGAACGTCTCTGATACTTATAAAGACATAGTGGGCCTGAAGGCCGAAGTGTTAGGAAAATGAGGAGTTTCTTTGGAATCTCAAAGCATCGGTTTTAGATTTGACCGTCCATTGTCCCACGAGATTTTCTTGAGCCGTCAACGTCATGATTGGCCACCGATAATAATTACCCCTTTATTTATTAGGGGGTAATTATGGGGGCAATTGAGGATACCAAAGATGAATTGGACCAGACCCGACCCGCGGGTAGAGCACCAGGTTGAGTGGTAGATCCTAGCCCAAGCAAAAAGGGTAGCATAATGAGCCCAACACCCACGAAAGAAGGATCTGACCGAACAGTTGAACTCAGCCATAATGCAATACTGTGAGTTAGGCCCAACGTCTGAGACTTACATGATAAAGTCAGGCCCAAAAGGAAGAAAGCCCAATAATAAGAGCCCTATGTAATAAGTTAGTTAGAGCATTTGTAATGGTCTATAAATAGACAGTACGAGTAGAGAAAAGATAGGTTTTTTTTGGGGGGGGGGGAGTTTTCATTCTGTTGAAGTGTAAAAATTCTAGAGAGAGAACGGTAATTGAATTTCTTACATCTTCAGCAGGTTAGACACACTGCTAGATTACTCATCAACCATTCAATTGGGAATTGAGCTTCAACCTCATTTTGGTGCGATAACTGGGCTCCAGGAGGTCCTCTTAGTTCTAGATTCTCAGTTAACATACTACTTGAGGGTGGACTCACTGAAGATACAATAGTGGACAATTTCATTGAAAATAATAATTGGGTTTTTCCCCCAAACTTTTACACTGCTGTACCTGAATTGCTCCATCTGCCTACACCATGCTCCTCAAAAAGTGACACTAAGAGATGGTTACCTTCTCCTAATGGCATATATTCTTTTTCTCACACAGTCTCTCACCTAGTAGGTGACCTGCCAACTATCCCATGGCACAACCTAGTATGGCATTCCCCTATCATCCCAAGAATGAAATTCATCCTTTGGTTGGTTGCCCAATCCAAATTGGCCACCCTTGATAGCAAAGTAATGGCTAAGCACCACAACATTTGCTCTCTGTGCAACAACTCAATGGAGTCCCATGACCACCTACTATTTAACTGCTCCTACATATCCCTTCTTTGGCGTTTTATCAAATATAAATGTAACATTCAAACTGCCATCAATAATTGGGATAATCTAATATAGTGGGCAAGCATCAAATGGAAAGCAAACAATCCAACTAATCTACACAGGAAATTGGGTCTCTCAGCTCTACTGTATTATACTTGGAAAGAGAGGAATGCAAGAATCTTCAAAGGAAAAAGAGCATCGCAGAGGGTGGTCTGTGCTAAGGTATGCTCTACCATTGCTGCCATTTTGAAGCTTCGTTGTCTTTGAGATTGCCCTTCCTCTAGGTTAATTCTCATGGAATGGAACATCTCACCTTCGGCTTGTAGACCTCCTCCTCGGCCTCCAGATTGATTTGGGTGGCCGAGCCACCTATTGAAGCCACCGGAATGAAGTTTGGCAGCCATTAATGGGCAGGCCGTTACTGGTAGTTAATACCATGTCTTTGGGGTTGGATAGTTGGTTTTGTATCTTGGGCTGGGCTATTGTTTTTAGCCATGTTGAAAGCTTTGGGCCTAAGGCCTACCTGTAATTACTTTTTTATTCAATGAAATTTGCTTTAATTTTCAAAAAAAAAAAAAAAAACTATTACAAAATCTAGGTACTTCCAAGTTCCGTATAACTGTATCTCTACAAAATTCATTCCTCCTTTAGAATATTCTCTAAACCTACACCCCTCTAGAGCATGGAAAGGCCCACAATTTTTAATTGTTTTATTTTTATAAAATTTGACAAAATGTCCGTTTAATTAACAAATACAACCCACGTGTATTGTGTGTTTGTTGTCGAGATTTATTACACTTTGTTTTCGGCACATTTTTTTTGGAATTCAGCTTCTCTGCACTCGTATTGTTCGCCATCATGCATTAAAGATTAATAAAATTAAAATTTCATGAGAAGATTTGAGATGGCATTGGATCCTAAGACCATGATATTATTTAATGATCATTGTACTCCATTATTCACTCTTTGACCCCATAGTAAAAACCCAATTTACCTTCTTAATGAAACAAAAAAAAGTTATGATAACTCAAAGTTTACCCTCAATTTCATCTTTGTTTTTTCTTGCTGGAGTCCCTCTTTTCTTCTTTCTTTTTGTGTCCCTTGACCAGATTACATCATCAAATACACTTATATTATGTTTGGGAGCACTGAATTAATACTTAAGATTGAGAATTGAAGGAAGTTCAGTTCAAATTTTGTATTAAATTTTTTTTAATCCCAAAATTCAAGGCACCAATTTAGTGCCGCCAAACATAACATAATAATATGTTACGAGTATTGAATCTGTGTCTTAAATTTGAAATTGAAGGACTTTAATACACTCAAAACTTTAGATAATGGGATCAGTTGAATATAAAGAATTAATTAAAATTTGAACAAAATTTTTCTCAATTCCAATTCCGTTTATAAAGAATAAGATTTTTTTTTTTTTTTTTTTGGGTAATTAAATTTATAAAGAATAAGTTGTAATGGTAACAACATCCAAATATTTACTTATAAAATAAGGTACGTAAAAAACAATGTGATTTTAAGGAGACTATTAATCGCCTTGGCACGGAAATATAACATAAGGTTTTCATATAACCAAATCAACTCTAAAGTGGTGAAAAGAAGATTTAAGATTTAATTAAATTGACTTTAACATATATTGGAAATTTGGAATAAACCAATTAGACTTGTAAAAACTTCTAGTACTTATAAATCATCAGAAAGAACAACTTCCAATGGTGTCTGTCAAATCTCCATGCTAGGCACAAATATTTAGTTTTAAAAAATAAAAAATAATAATAATAATAAATCTTGCAACAACCTATTTATTGCACAACAATGAATGAAAACCAAAATTTTGGTGGTCTGACAATATATATATATATATATAATCTAATCCCATTCCTTGTAATTCTGATTCTGAAAAGTGCGGTGACCACCAGTAATTTGTTTGCAAAAAGCTTCACAGCTTCCTTCACAAACGGAAGTGGTTGCTCCTCCCACCTTCATGCATGTGGGCATACATTTCTTAACACATTCCGTTTTTGCTTCGCATCCCATCACTACCAATGCAACTATTATCAGCACCACCCGTGTCTCCATCAATTTCTTGCTACCCATTTTAATTCTCTCTCTTACTGATTTTCTTTTTCGTGAAATATTTGAAGAAATAAACAGAAGGTGGTTTTTCTATAGATATACATATATATGTTTGTGTGTGTTTGGGTGTGTGTTTGCGGATAATTGTAGGTTATACCCTATTTAGAAGTGGTTTGGAACACAACATGGATAGAAGAATTTGAAGTCGATATTTTGGTTGAAAGTTTCTGAGCTTCTAAATAAAATTAGTGTAAAAATAGTACTGTAACAGAGATTTTTAATGGATCCGGAAAATGAATTGTCACCAATGCTGCCGCGTGGATAGCTACTATTGGCTGTCGTTTGCTTCCAATTCGATGAACATTTAAATTAGCATCCGTAACAAATGACAGAATTTGAAGTTTATAAATTTCAAAACCCCTTGTTTTATCAATTTTGTTAATGTCATGTTTGAAAGCACAGGATTAACATTTTAGATAAAATAGGTTAAACTAATATTTGTCATTTGACAAATGACAGGATTTAAAGTTCAAAATTCATTTAATGTTGCCTTTGAAAGTACTAAATCAACGCTTTAGATAAAGTAGACGAAAGTTTAACTTAAAAATGACAGGGTTTATCAAATTTTGTAATGTTTGCGTTTGAGAGCGCCGGATCGACATCTTAATCCAAATGCAAAGCGCAAATTTGGTACTTCCAATCGTAAAGCTATTTCATTTTCTCTCAATTATAGGTGCCAATAATCAGAAACCAAGTATATATGTTCACTGATATAAATAAAATTGATATGAAGAAAACTGTGACAATGTGTTTGAGAAGTTCCCAACTACATTGCAAAGCTAAAATTCTCATTTTTCTGTACTGAACTCTACTGGCTAAGCAATGACTTTGCAATGCTTGTCACATTCTCCTCTGTAAAACCAAATTTCTTGAATGTATCCAAATAAGCACCACTAGCCCCAAATTCCTCCACCCCAACCACCACCCCTCCGCTGCCTACGTATTCCCTCCAACCGAGGGGCGACCCCGCCTCGATGCTCATCCACTTTGACACACTTGATGGCAATACAAGCTCCTTGTATTCCTTAGGTTGTCTATCAAAAAGCCTCCAGCACACAAGTGAGACCACCCTCACTCTCCTCCCTTCTTTCCTCAGCATTTTGGCACTACCCTTGCAGAGACATAGCTTTGATCCGGTACCTATCATTATAATCTCCGGTAGATCTTCCCCAGAATTGTCACTTATAATATATCCCCCTTTCTCAACTGCATTCACCGATGTCCCTTCCAGGTTTGCAGCTACCTTTTGCCTTGATAATGCAATAAGACTAGGTACATCTCTGTTTGCAACGGCCACTTTATAGGTTCTAGTTGTCTCATTGCCGTCCCCTGGACGGAAAACTAGAAGTCGTGGCACTGCTCGTAGGCCGGCAAGCTGTTCTACTGGTTGGTGGGTAGGGCCATCTTCCCCTAGACCAATCGAGTCGTGAGTCATAATGTAGATGACACCGACATAGCTCAGAGCAGACAGTCGGATGGAGTTCTTCATGTAGTCAGAGAAAATGAGGAAAGTGGCTGTAAATGGTATCAAGCCACTTCCATGCAATGCGATACCATTTGAGATTCCGGCCATTGCGTGCTCTTGAACTCTATATTGGATGTTGCGGCCCCATGGGGAGCGGGGCTGCTGGAAGTCTTCGTAGCCATGGAGATAGTCTTTGTTGGAGGTTGCAAGATCTGCACTGTCACCAATCAATCCTGGAAGCACTTTTGCAAGCTTGTTCAAGCACTTCTCAGAGTATCCTCGAGTGGCATCGACCGGATCAGATAGAGACCAATTCTATAGAAATTGTAACACAATGTCGTTACATAAATGAGGTCGGAAAATCTTTATAGCATCATTTAGAAGACTACAAAAAAGAGAGAAAAAATGAACACATTATAGAGGCGAAGCTCGATGCTACATATATAACCAACGGCGGGGACGGTGCCCCCAACCACACCATCAAACCCAATCGAACCACGTACACAAACCCACTGCCACCACCCCACTCCCACCACCACCATCACTGTAACGACCCACTCACCCACCTCACTAACCACGACCCGGCCTTTTCTCCATTGTCTTCAAAAATTAAACAACTCCTACTAAAATCACACACCATGAAACCCAATTGAAACCCGAAAAATCCACTGTCACCACTCCACTTCCGTTGGAATTTGACAATTCTCCTCCTCTGGTGCCGTCGCCGGTGTGTCGTACTTGTTACAGTCATGATCAAAGAAGAATTTTGGACTTCGTAAAACAAGCAGCTGGTTATTGCAGAATAATGCTTTGGTTGGGTTGGTTTAATTTGTGACATAGGTTCAGGCTCACGAATTGGGGTTTTCAGCCAAACTCGTCCCACGGAGTCGTCATATCCAAACTGAAGCGGATTTCAACTTATCGAAACGACTCAAAGGCCTTGCAGAGCTCTGATCAGGACAAAACACCATCGTTGTTAAGGTCCAGCAAGGCGAAACGCTTGTCGATGAGCCTTGTCTCTGACAAAGTCTTGTGAATTTGGGAAATTGGGTGGGAGGCATTTGGAACTGTTAAAAGGTATTAGGTCTGAATGTGAGTATTATTGTCTTTTCAAATTTATAAGGGCAATATAGTCCTTAAATTTAGAATTTGCATCAGGTGAGAGCATGTTGTCACGGGCTTAGAGTTTCAGCACCACTCTAGCTACTCCCGTGCGGCACGAAGATGTTGCTTCTACTCTTACAAGTGCTTGGTTAGCCTAACTCCCGTGCACACATTAGCCAACACACTCCCCTCGTGTCCTTACTAGTGTTGTAGTGGCCCTCGCCCTCTCTTCACTTGGCTTGTACACTCACACACACTAAGGCATTTAAGTTGGCAAGGAAAGAACACTTTTATTACTTCAAAGAATGCTTTGTACAAGGCTAGCACTCAAACTCTCTACAAGGCTCTCAAGACTCACTCTAGGACTTGTTGGCTACAAAATGAAGTCCTACTCCTATTTATAGGCATCCCCATCCCTAATGGATGGCTAGGATGCATTCTAACCAACAGTGGAGATCGATTCTCGAAAATCTTCTCCCACATTCTTCACACTTCCATACTTATCCACAAGTATCTACAATATTCTATAACTCTCCATACTACTCCACAAAATTCTAGAGAACTCTAGAATATACTACACATATCTAGAATCTTCCACACAACTCTAGACAACTCCGGAAGACTTTAGAAACTCCACTCGCCATGCAGTTGCCATGCAGCGTCCTCCTCAGTGTCTGCGTGTCGCCTGCGTGGCACAACCTCCATAGGCGGGGCGTAACATTCTCCCCCACCCATTTCCATGACGCCCTCGTCACGGTTTCTTCAGCTGACCCAGCCTCTCGCAGGTCATCAGCACTTGCGCATATGTCCTTGGCCCAAACGTACGAGCACCCTTCGGGAGATGTGAGGTCCTCACGAGCTCCATCGTGTTGACTGCCACCTCTGGATTCTCCTTCCTGCCCATGAGCTGTACCATGCATGTCACATTGCCTTCCTCGCCTCCAAGTATCATCAATGCACTAAAGCATGGTAGTGGCGCGACGTTGTTCCTGTCCATGAACTCTAACCCCAGTACCATGTCGTGGTCATCCATCTCCACAACCTGGAAGTCGGCCTTGCCCTTCCACCCTTGCATGCATAGCTCTACCTCCTTGCACACTCTGTTCACGCGTGCCTCATCGGAGTTGACGGCCTTGATCCAGCCCTCCGTCTTGCGCATCTCTAAGCCAAGTCGCTGCGCCTCTTTCGGGGTAATGAAGTTGTGTGTGGCGCTCGTGTCCACCAACGCTTGCACGGCTTTACCACCAACCTGCGCATCCACATAGCGCACCCCGGCTACCTTCTTCACCTTGCCCTTCTTGGTGTCATGCGCCATGCTACTCAGCATCTGCATAGCCCCCATGCACCTGTCTTCGTCGCTACCCGCATCGTCCACCTTGCCCTTGCCTTTATGCTTCACAAGGGCGCTCATGGTCTTTTTGTTTTGGCAGTGTCACAATATGTGCGGCCCTTCGCACAAGTAGCACTTCAACTCCCATTTGCCCTTGTCGTGGCGCTCCCCTTTGCCGCTAGCCTTGGACCTCTCTCCATGGTCCTTGCCCTTGTCATGGCGTGGGCGTCTCTCCTCATCGCTGTGCTCATCATCACTGAACTTGGGCGAGTCCCCTTTCTTGAAGCGCCGGTCTTCCCTACCTTTGCCGTGGTCCCTCTTGGGAGACGTGGCCCTCTTGTCGTAGCGCTTAAAGTCTTTAAGGCGCTCCGCTATAGCCATTGCGGATGCCAAGTCTCTAGGCTCCCTCCTTCTTAGCTCTGTGGCTACCCAAGACTGCAACCCATCAATGAACAAGCACACGCGTTGCCGCTCTGGCATTTCTAGCATCAAGTTGGAGTACTCCTTCACATACTCCCTTATACTGCCCTTCTGCTTCAGGCGCCTTAGGTTGATCATGGCGAGGTCCTCGACACACTCCGGGTAGAACTGCTTCTTGAGTTGCCTTTTGAACTCCTCCCATATATCAATCGCTCTTATGCCTCTACCGGTGAAGCGCTGCCTCCACCATAGAGCGGCAGTGTCCGTGAGGTACATGGTGCCTGTCTGCACCTTCTCCTCATCATCCTCGATCTCCATGCACTCGAAGTACCGCTCCATGTGCAAGAAGAAGTTGTCAATTTGGCGTACATTCCTTGCCCCATCATACTCCTTGGGCTCTGGCGTCTTTTTTTTCCTTGGCTTCACCACAACTTCGCGCGCCTGGGAGAATCCTTCTTGCACTCAGCAATCTCCACACGTAAGTCGTCTACTCGATCATGCAAGTCCCTTTCCTTCTCTCGCGCCTTGTTGGCGATGCCATCAATCAGCTCGTAGAGCTCCGCCATCCTTCTGTCGAGCTTGTTAAACTTGGTCTCCGTGTAGACCAAGTGTGTGGCAAGCTTCTCCTCCAAGCTCTGCTCCAAGACGTGGACTTGGTGGTCTCCTCCGCTAGCCATGTCTACTCCAACAAAGCCCCCTTGATGAACCTGCTCTGATACCAATTGTCACGGGCTTAGAGTTTCAGCACCACTCTAGCTACTCCAGTGCGGCACCAAGACGTTGCTTTTACTCTTGCAAGTGCTTGGTCAGCCTAACTCCCGTGCACACTTTAGCCAACACACTTCCCTCGTGCGCTTACTAGTGTTGTAGTGGCTCTCGCCCTCTCTTCACTTGGCTTGCACACTTACACACACTAAGGCACTTAAGTTGGCAAGGAAAAAACACTTCTATTACTTCAAAGAATGTTTTGTACAAGGCTAGCACTCAAACTCTTTACAAGGCTCTCAAGACTCACTCTAGGACTTGTTGGCTACAAAATGAAGTCCTACTCCTATTTATAGGCATCCCCATCCCTAATGGATGGCTAGGATGCATTCTAACCAATGGTGGAGATCGATTCTCTAGAATCTTGTCCCACCTTCTTCACACTTCCATACTTATCCACAAATATCTACAATATTCTAGAACTCTCCATGTAATACCCCTAATTTTAAAAGGATAGTCTCGGCATTTTTAATATTTATTGTATTGCATTTTTATTTATTTTATTGTCTTTATCGCATTGTTTTTCATTTGTTTAAATTGGTTTTATGTGCATTATTTGGTTTAATTAATTGCTTAATGGTTTATTTGTTTAATCAGTCATGTTACTTAATATGTTTTTGGTAACTGTTTATATAATTTTATTTATTGAATTAATTGTGATTTTATTTAATTGTTATTTTAATTGGTTTTGGTTTTGTTTGAATGGATTAATTGAGTATTTTCATTTTTATGTTAATGGGTTGTTTTTAAATTGACTTAATTTAATTTATTTAACTTAATTAGTTTAATTTAGATGTTTAAGTTCTTCACGGGGTAATTATTTTATTTATCTAAATTTAGGGTTTTAGGATTTATCGTTGGGCCGACTAAGTGTTGCATTAGGGCTCAAATTATACAAGGATTAGGGTTGGACTACTATGCCTATATATATGACCTTATGTGGGTTTAGAGTTTGAGGAAAAATACATAAAACTCTATTCCCGTATACAGTGATACAGAGAGTTGTGAGAGCAGAGAAACAGAGAGGGAACTTGAGTATTATACAGAGAGGTTCAAGGAAGGTTGGACGGGGTGTTTTCTGGGTTGAACCAAGAGCGTCGAAGGAGTAAGACAGTAGTCGAGGACGTTGACGGACAATTCAGAGACGGAGGTTTAGAGTTTCAAAGTCTGAAACTCAAGGCAAGTCTCTGTTCCGCTCTATCTCTTTAATCTGTATTCTGTACATGCTTAGAAAGACTCCAGTGATTAAACCAACATTAAAATGGATTAAATAAATGTTTAAATTTATCTTGAATGCATGTTTAAACTGTAATAAATCTCGTGAACCAAACTGGTGTAAGTTCTTAAAGTTTCTGTGATTTGTGGCATGCCGTTCTTGAGTTTAAGCTTGGTTTAATTGGGATTATTATTGTATGTCGGGGGCTTTCAAATAAATCTGGGACATTAAATAAACACCAGAATAGGAGTTTAAAATACTACAGAGGCTCTGGACTTCGCCGGAGGCGAAGAAGACGAACGGGTTAGGGGATGCGGCTCTCAAAAGAGGAGAGCCGGCTCACCAAAAGGGTAGAGCCGGCTCTAGGACTTGTAGAGCCGGCTCTACATGGGGTAGAGCCGGCTCCACATGAAGTGGAGGCGGCTCCACTAAGGGGGGAGCCGGCTCCAACTTTCTAGAGGCGGCTCCAACCCCTTTTCTTGAGGTTTTGTGTGGTTCTGGGTCCGGTTTGGCCTGTAGGAAGGTTTCTAGGTTGGTTCAGGGAATGTGGATGATCTGTATAATTATTCCAGAGATGTATAAACTGTTGGGAAGCATGTTGATGATATTATGTTGAAGTATGCACAAAGATAGGGTTCAACATTAAACTTGTTTGGGAAACAGTGGATGAAAGGAATTGAAACTAGTATATTGTTCTTACTATTTTCTGAAACAATTGGGGTTCTTTGTCTAAATTAAAGACATTAAACATGTCTTAACTGTGTACAAGTATATAGTTATTTATCCGGAAACATAAATCTATTTAGCTGGAATTAATTGATGATTACTTTTCCGTTGATTGCATTAATTATGGTTCTGTTTGGAGGAATTAAATGTGCAGTTTTATTTCATGTATTTAAATGACTGGAATTGAGATTCTAAAATTGTTATTGGATGCATAATTTAGTTATACACATGTTAAACTGTAATTATGCAAATTTTGGAGTATGGTTGATTAGTATCTGATACTGTTTCCATCAACTGTGTTAACTGGAGGAGCTAAATGTACAGTCTTTTCATTTATATCAAGAACTGTAATGGGATATCTAAATCTTATATGGGATGTATAAATTGGTCGTGTACATGCTAGAATATATTTATGTTTATTCTGGGATGTGGTTAATAAGTAATTTTACGGTGTTATTAACTACGAAAATTGGAGGATGGTATGCGCCGGTATGGGACGGTGTCATACTAGGTACGGATTAGTTCAGACACTAAGCCTACCTAAATTTGGATTAAGGGATGGATTAATCATAAAGATTAAGTCCATCACCAACATATGTCATATCAATTGTGAATTGAATGATCCACTATGGTTTCAGGATGGATTTGTTATACATATATCAGGCCACTACACAGATGGATGGTATTATGTATTAGGAGGAGTACGGACTTTATATATATATTATATGGTGCCGTGGTATGAGTTTGAGTCTCATGACCATGGTTAGGGCGCGTATATCGCCTAGGATGGATAATTGGACATAGGTGTTGTTCCCTGGTAGGTCTAGGTACTCATGCCCACCTTAGGGTGCGTATTTGCATGTTGCCTTCTAATCAGGCTGAGACAAACCTACTGGACTAGCGAGCGTCCTATAGTGTGTACTATATACTTATATGGACTACTCTAGTTATTGTTGAGTCTTCCTAGGATGTATCTGCGTATCGGATTACTGTTTGGATTGTAGTAGATCAGGACTTGCATGTGGGCCTGACCCACTTCTTTATTTTTCAGGTGTTCGTCAGTTCCAGGGTTAGAGCTTAAATGTGCAGAGCAGATACAGATATTCATTCCTCCGACTATGTAGGAATCTCCTTTATGTTAGCTTTGGTCTTTATTTCTGTTATTTTCAGTTCCGGTTTGAGAATCTTTAATAAGGGGTTCAATGGATGGATTCCCAAGTTGTAAACCTATGGGGTTTGGATTTAACGGATTTTAAATAATTATATTATTTTAAGGATTTTCAATTAGCATTCTTTCAGCTTATTATTTTTAATTCTTATTTTATCTTGTATTCTGTGTTCGATTACATATTAATTGTTTGACATCCCTCGGGTTTGGGCCCGAGCCTGATCAACCCATGTCTCGGATCCGAGGGGTATCACACTCCATACCACTCCACACAATTCTAGAGAACTCTAGAATATACTACACATATTTAGAATTTTCTACACAACTCTAGACAATTCCGAAAAACTCTAGAAACTCCACTCGCCATACAGTTGCTATGTAGCGTCCTCCTCAGCATCTGCGTGTCGCCTGCGTGGCACAACCTCCATAGGCGGGGCGTAACAATGTGCTGTGTTTAATGGCAATATTTGACCGGCGTATTGTCGGATGAAGTGGTCTACAATAAAAATATATACTTGATGGGGTTATTTGTAATTTTTATAGCTTAGGGAATTTATTGCAAATTTATCAATAATTCCCCCGACCCTATTATTATTATTATTATTTTTTTTTCTTTTTAAGATTAATTGATTGCACTTTTCTCTTTAGATTAATTGATTGAAATAACAATCTCTGTTCTTGACAATTTATGGGTACCTTTCAATGTATCAGAAAAAGAGACATATAAATAATTGAAATAACAATCTTGTTTTCTTCTATATGATTCTACATGCATGAACCTTTTTTTTGTTTAATCTTATAAAAGCAATTTTAAAGGGTTAATGTCAAACTTGATGACTTGGTAATCAGGACTCGATACTTCGAGAAACTCTTCTTGTACTTTTCATCCTTCTAACTTTTTAAAAATTGTTGTTAACTAAAATTCTGGTTAAATTTTTTATTTTCATTGACAAGAAAGTCACACTATTTTGAGAATGGTAAAAGCGATACATGTACTATAACTTAATACCTATCCAAATACTTTGTGCTAATATTTATTGTATTTTTTTTTTTTATAATTTTAGCATAAAAAAAAATATTGAAATTGTCAAATTTGTGATTACAAGTTTAAATGTAAATAATATATTAAGTGTTTAATATATAATGTACCAAATGGACACATTATCATCTGGGTGATTGCTTAGGATTATGATTTATCAATGTTGAAGAGTTAAAATTAGGGATGTGTGTAATTTCGGTTTGAGTTAGGGTTAGAGTTAAAAATCTAACCTAAACTCAATTTGAAATGGATTAGGTTTTGAAAATTATTAAACATATTCTAACCCGATTTCTGGATGTTTTTTTTTTCCTAATGGATTTCTGGATTAATAAGCCTATGCAAATCAATTTTGAACCAACCTACTGCGCTCTAAGTTTAAATCAGTCAAGTTTTGACAACAATATACTTTCTTTGTTGAGGTTGATTGATTCAATTGGTTCTCTATTTTTCAGTGCCAATATCTGCATAAATTGAATTAATAATAAAAATATATATATTATAGGCCTCAAATGGTTAATAAAAATTCTCTATGGTCAATTGAGAATATGAAAATTTAATTGAAAAAGCAAACATAATGATGAGGGTTATCATTTTTACAATGGGAATGGTCGCGGTTGCGGTTGCAATGTTGTATTGAATTCGGTATGACCTATAACGTTTTACTTTTTTGTTCTTATAAGGTTACTAATCTTTTTCTTATATATGGCAGGAAGATAGCATTGCTCCCAGAACATCTAATGCCCATCTAATTATAGATAAAAGTCAGTTATTTCTATAAAAAAATATATAAGGGCAGAAAGAACTTCTTCCCACTAACATTCTTTAAAATGACTAAGTTTAAGCCTCCATATGATGATTATAAATGAGACTTTCACTCTTTATATAATGATATTCATTCCTCTTTTAGAATATTCTCTAAACCTCCACATCTCTATAGCATGGAAAGGCCCACAAGGGGCGTGCCCCCTACACAGTCAATTTTTAATTGTTTTATTATATATTTAATTTTATAAAATTTGACAAAATGTCCATTTAATTAACAAATACAACCCACTTGTATTGTGTGTTTGTTGTGGAGATTTATTACACTTTATTTTTGGTACATTTTTTTTTTTGGAATTCAGTCTTCTCTGCATTCATATTGTTCTCCATTATGCATTGAAGATTAATAAAATTAAAATTTATGACAAGATTTGAGATGGCATTGGATCCTAAGACCATGATATTATTTAATGATCATTGTACTCCATTATTCACTCTTTGACCCCGTAGTAAAAACCCAATTTACCTTCTTAATGAAACAAAAAAAAAAAAAAAATACTATAATTCCAAGTTTACTCTTAATTTCATCTTTATTTCTTCTTCTTCGAGTCCCACTTTTCTTCTGTCTTTTGTGATCCTAGACCTGATTACATTATCAAATATAATTATGTTATTTTTTGAGATCACCGAATTAATATCTTAAATTGGAAATTGAAAGAAATTTAGTTTAAAAATTGTATTAAATTTTTTCTAATCTCAAATTCAAATCACTAATTCAGTGTCACCAAACATAACATAATATGTTATGAGTACTGAGTCTGCGTCTTGAATTTGGAATTAAAGAACCTTAATACGCTCAAAACTTGAGATAATGGAATCAATTGAAAATAAAGAATTAACTAATATTCGAGTAAAAATTTTCTCAATTCCAATGTAAAGAGTTAGTAGATGCCTCGATAGTCTAGTGGTTAGTATTTTTGGTGAATTTTGGGAGTGCCAGGCTTCGACTTTTGTATCTACTAATTTAACTTCTAACTCTTCTTGCCTTGTAAAAAAAAATAAAAAATAAAAAATAAAAAATTGTAAAGAATTAACTAAACCATAAAAAAACACTTAGCATAACTATGACATAAGGTTTTCATATAACCAACAACTCTCAAGTGGTGGAAATTTTTTTTTATTAAATTGACTTTAACATATGCTGGAATAAACCAATTAGACTAGTAAAAACTTCAAGTACGTACTTATGAATCATCAGAAAGAACAACTTCCAATGGTGTCTGTCAAATCTCCATGCTAGGCACAAATATTTAGTATTGAAAAATAAAAGATAATAATAATAAAAAAATTCTTGCAACAACCTATTTATTACAACAAATAATCAAAACAAAAATTTTGCTAGTCTGATAAATATATATATATATATATATATATATATATATATATATATAATGATGCTATATATATATAATAATTTAATCCCATTCCTGCTTCTGGTTCTGAAAAGTGCGGTGACCACCGGTAATTTGTTTGCAAAAAGCTTCACAGCTTCCCTCACAAACGGAAGTGGTTGCTCCTCCCACCTTCATGCATGTGGGCATACATTTCTCAACACATTTATTCCGTTTTTGATTCACATCCCATCACTACCAATGCTACTATTATCAACACCACCTGCGTCTCCATCAATTTCTTGCTACCCATTTTAATTCTCTCTATCTTACTGATTTTCTTTCTCGTGAAATATTTGAAGAAATAAACAGGTGGTGGTTTTTCTGTAGATGTACATGTATGTGTGTGTTTGTGGATAATTGTAGGTTATACCCTATTAGAAGTGGTTTGGAGCACAACATGGGTACAAGAATTTGAAGTCGATATTTTGGTTGAAAGTTTCCGAGTTTCTAAACAAAATTAGTGTAAAAATAGTACTATAACAAAGATTTTATGGATCCAGAATATGACTTGTCACCAATGGTGCCACGTGGATAGCTACTATTGGTTGTCGTTGCTTCCCACAAATGAGATACCACCTTATTTTTGTGATTTCATGTTACTAAATCCTTCCTGGTCAAGTTTAATGAATTTTTGTCCCACGTCTGATGCAGATGAAGGGAATTATAAGGTATAGAAGGAAGTCAGTCTTCAAATTAAGTGTAGTGAAATTTCAAAATAAAATGGGTGAAAATTTAAATTAGCATCGGTTACAAATGACAGAATTTGAAGTTTATATATATCATCAAAACCCTTTCTTTTATTGATTTTGATAATGTTACATAGAGTACCGAATCAACAACCTAGATAAAATAGATAAAATAAGTTAAATGAACATTTGTAACTAAAACTTATTATTTTATCAATTTTGGTAATGTGGCTTTTGAAATTACGGAATCAACACTTGAATAAAATAGATAAAAGTTCAACTTAAACTTCGATGACAAATGACAGGGTTTGTCAAAATTTGTAATGTTCGCGCTTGAGAGCAACGGAACTGCAACTTGATCCAAATTCAAAGTGCAGATTTGGTGCTCCCAACTCTAATGTAAAGCTATTTCAGTTTTTCTCAATTTTTTGTGCCAATAATCAGAAACCAAGTATATATGTTCACTGAAATAAATAAAATTGATATGAAGAAAACTGTGACAATGTGTTTGAGAAGTTCCCAACTACATTGCAAGCCAGAATTCTCATTTTTCTGTACTAACCTCTACTGGCTAAGCAATGACTTTGCAATGCTTGTCACATTCTCCTCTGTAAAACCAAATTTCTTGAATGTATCCAAATAAGCACCACTAGCCCCAAACTCCTCCACCCCAACCACCACCCCTCCGCCGCCTACGTATTCCCTCCAACCGAGGGGCGACCCCGCCTCGATGCTCATCCGCTTCAACACACTTGATGGCAATACAAGCTCCTTGTATTCCTTAGGTTGTCTGTCAAAAAGCCTCCAGCACACGAGTGAGACCACCCTCACTCTCCTCCCTTCTTTCCTCAGCAATTTGGCACTCCCCTCGCAGAGACATAGCTCTGATCCGGTACCAATCATTATAATCTCCGGTAGCTCTTCCCCGGAATTGTCACTTATAATATATCCCCCTTTCTCCACTGCATTCGCCGATGTCCCTTCCAGGTTTGCAGCTACCTTTTGCCTTGATAATGCAATAAGACTAGGTACATCTCTGTTTGCAACAGCCACTTTATAGGCTCCAGTTGTCTCATTGCCGTCCCCTGGACGGAAAACTAGAAGTCGTGGCACTGCTCGTAGGCCGGCAAGCTGTTCTACTGGTTGGTGGGTAGGACCATCTTCCCCTAGACCAATCGAGTCATGGGTCATAATGTAGATGACACCGGCATGGCTCAGAGCAGACAGTCGGATGGAGTTCTTCATGTAGTCGGAGAAAATGAGGAAAGTGGCTGCAAATGGTATCAGGCCACTTCCATGCAATGCGACACCATTTGAGATTCCGGCCATTGCATGCTCTCGAACTCCATATCGGATGTTGCGGCCCCATGGGGAGCGGGGCTGCTGGAAGTCCTCATAGCCGTGGAGATAGGCTTTGTTGGAGGTTGCAAGATCTGCACTGCCACCAATCAATCCTGGAAGCACTTTTGCAAGCTTGTTCAGGCACTTCTCAGAGTATCCTCGAGTGGCATCGACCGGATCAGATACAGACCAATTCTGTAAAAATTGTGTTGTGACACAATGCCGCTACATAAATGAGGTCTAAAAATCTCTATAGCATCTTTTAGAAGACTCTTGAGGTACAAAAAAGAGAGAAAAATTGAACACATTATAGAGACGTTCAATAGGGCAAAACTAAAACACATTTTCAATTTCATCCTCTATTCTTTTTTATTCAGTTAAAAACATTCTGTGTTCTCCAATCGAATTCATATAGATTTTTTACAATTTACATATCGTCTTACCGGTAATGAGCCTTCCCAGCCAGGAACTAGGCCACCATTGAGGAGAACTTTGAATTCTGTTGCCTCTTGTGGGTACTTGCTTTGAAAATAATGTAGTTTAGAGTGCCATTCCTTCTCCAATCTTTCTCCATTGTATGCTTGAACTTGCATTTCCCTGCACAAGATTTATATGAAAGTCTTGCCGTTAAATATTCTTTTAAAGCTTCACAAAGAAAATTTGCTAGTTGCAGTCCCACACCTGTAAACCATAGGAATGACATGAAATGGCTCTCCATCCGTCCACTTGACTTTCTGTCTCATTTCCTTCGCATCATCTTCATCGAAGGTACCATGATGAGCCTTCGATGTTCCTTCCTTTTTCGACAATTTTCCAATTAGACTCTTCACCTGGAAAATATCAAATAATCACTTTGCCTTCTGTAAGTGAATTGAACAGTTAGCAATAACAATTGGACAATGGTTATCAATGGCGGCTACATTTTATAGGTTGTCTAATTTTTCAGTCACTGTGCTACTGCAGGATAGGAACAGCGAACACGTCCATTATTTCAGACAAATCAGAGCACATCAGTCACCAAATAACATTGGCTCCTTGTGAAGTTATAACGACACCTTGTCATCAAAAGGAACATTTCGAACTTCAAAAGACGAACACACAGACATAGACATAGACTTAATTTGGTTCAACATACCCTGATGAAAGTTGGTTTCTCAGTCTGACTATAAGCAGAGAGAAGTGCATTTTTGAATGATATTAAATCACCGTGTGTGACATCCGCCGTGACTGTATTCCAACCGAGAGCCTCAAATCGCGCAGATATATCTTCAGAAAATGCTAGGGTGGTGTCGCCATCGATGGTATTCTGGTTATCATCGTAGATTAGAGTAAGCTTGTTGAGCTTCCAATGTGCAGCTAAAGATGCAGCTTCATGTGTTATTCCCTCCATGGCACACCCATCACCCATAATACAATATCTACATTGATAATCAACAAATGACCATGAGAAATCCGGTTCATACATCATTTTGTACCGCTGGTTTTAAACGAATTTAGAGAACTAGTTAGTCAACTCACGTCCGATGATCAACTATAACGTTATCAGGTTTATTGAATCTAGCAGCTAAGTGAGCTTCTGCTAGAGCAAGACCAACTGCATTGGCTACACCTTGCCCAAGTGGTCCTATTTTAAATAAAAATTTGAAGTTGATTAGTGAATAGACAGTGCGGAATTAGTAAAATGTAATTGATCAATCACAATACAAACAGGTCCTTATGTTATATATTATGGGTATCATTTTTCATGTGAAAACTCTGCACTAAAGTAATTGGGGATAATCTAGGACAGAATGAACTCTTTGCAGGTAATCATGGAGCCTTAATTGATCATGCTTCGCATTTTCAATTTCACCATCTCAAAATGCTTCAATGGTACGTACTCACAAAAGTTCTCTCCTAATTAAACAATGTGCAAGTCGAGTTTGTACCTGTTGTAACTTCAATGCCGTCTGTCACCACGTTCTCGGGATGACCAGGGGTTCGACTGCCAAGCTTGCACAACAGTTTAAGATCTTCGATCTGCGTAGAAGAGTACCTCAAAATTAACTAAATGAAAATTCTCATTGGAGGGAAGAGGAAGGAAGAAAAAGCAAGCAAACAAACACATTACTACAGTATCTATATGTAAGCATATTGAACAGCCAATTCCTTAGTAACATGGAATTCACCCGAAAAACCCCATAATTAATCTTTATTCGTCTTCTATAGTGGTAATGTTGGTCATCAAAGCTTACAATAACTTCCCATAATTGCTTAAGACTACAATTACAATTAGTAAGTTGCTCCACAGGAGATTATCTGAGCAATTCTTCATTATTTTATAAATATGTAATAAACCAGAAATACTTTAATCCCACTAGACTGAATGTTGACATGTAGTGATGTGAATAACAAAATAAAATGCAATGCCGATGTCTCGTACTGAGAAAGAATAAGTGGTAAGAAGTTAGACTTTCAGATTTATTACGATGAAATAAAACGAAGAAGCCCGTCTAGCTCAGTTGGTAGAGCGCAAGGCTCTTAACCTTGTGGTCGTGGGTTCGAGCCCCACGGTGGGCGTTCGTGTCTTCTTTTATTCCACATTCTTGTTTTTGGGCACCATTACAACATGAACGAGCACCAAATTGTCACTGCGGATTTGATGCTTCTAAACGGAAGATTAGAGCTTCTTAAATAAATTGAACTCAAATGTGGTAACATCATATAATTTCTCTATAAATGATACACACACACACATATATATATATATATGGAAATCAAGACCTTTAGCCCAAAAATAAAAAGTGGTCTTTTCATATTATGTAATATATTAATTATTAAATAATAATTAATTAAAAATTATCCTTTTTGAGAGTTTTTCATATCATAGTATACAAAATATTTATTGCGGTGTAACTTACCTAAAAAAATATTAAATATACATAGTGCTGGTGTAAAAAAAAAAAAAAAAAAAAAAAGGGTAATAAAATTGGTTAAATATGAGATAATTTTTTTAAAATTAGTGTGTAATAAGAAAATAATTACAATATATAATATTTTATGACTTTTTTATTGGCTGAGCTTAGGCGGCTGGGTAAGGCTCAAGTAATAAAGAATAATGTTCAACTATTCAATGATGAGTAGAGTGAGGTTACTCACTCTCATGGAACCTAATAATAAAATAACACATTATATTTAAAAATAAAATAATTCACACCTAAAAACATTACAATTTATTCTATGGTTGATCCGAGAAAGCAGAATGACCACGCAGGAGTGAGTAGCTTCATCCTACTCACTGGGGAGTAGCTAAGTAGTGTTCAATTAATAATATATATATATATATATATATATATATGTGTGTGTGTGTGTGTGTGTGTGTGTGTGGTACGTACCTGAACAGATTGAAAACCAGCCAAATGAAGGCAAACATACTGAAGCAAACACCCATGTCCTGCGCTCAAAACAAACCTGTCCCTGTTGAACCACTTGGGGTTTCTAGGGTTGTACCTCATTACATGCCGGTACAGAAAGTACCCCACCTCGGCCAACCCGAGGGCCATCCCGGGGTGTCCGGCACCGGCGTGCTGCACGGTGTCGACGATCAGCATCCTAACGTTGTCGACGCACCGCTTGTCCACCAATCTCTGAAAGTAGTCTTCCTCTGCATCGTCGCCGTGATCAGTAATGGATAGTAATTCTGATGGGTAAACTCTTTCGAGCTCCTCTTGCCATGAAATTAGCTGATCACAGTCTTTGGAGACGATCGGAGTGGCAGTACGGTTGGTTTTTTGACTGTTACACAGTGATGGAAATAGGGTGTGTTTACTAAAACTGTTATTTCTGTTGTATGTTTGGGGGGTGGGTTTGGCGGCAAGGTGGAGGGGGAAGGATTGGGGAAGGGAATTAGAGATGGTCATGTTGTAGAGAGAGATGATATATGTTTGATCAGTACTCTGGTGTAGTGTTACATATATATATATACATAGAGAGAGAGAGTGATTGTTGAATTTGTTATACGTGTCAGGGGTTGCTTGACTAGTGAACACACGTGGTGGATTTTGGAAAGTAGACGTGGTAGGCCTGTAGCCATGCAGAGGATGATGATGGGATTGATTTTGTGTCGGTGGAATCAGGGCGGCTGGAGCTTTAGGCGACCGGTCGCCTAAAGCCCAGCAAGAAGGTCTCTTATCTAAAAAAAAAATTTCGCAGCTACTTAAAAATTTTATTTTTTTCCATTATTAAACCTCAATTAGTGGAGAAGAAATTTAATAGTAGGTCCAAAATATTTCTATAATTATATTATTATTATTATTATTATTTTCTTTCTTTCATCCCTTATTACGTGAGCATATATACACACATATACACATATGCATATATTACTCATCCTTATCATTACACCAACCATAAATATTATCTATTATGGTGAGACTTGTGAAACTTTTATTTTTATTTTTTTAAGACATCTATTAACTATTATTTTCTCTTTTTTTCTTATACCTCACATAATTTTTCTCCTCTCATTATAATTTTTTTTTTTTAATTATTATTTTCAACTTCTCCGCTCTTATACTTACAACCTCACTCCGTTACAAGACTTTGAATGAACTTTTATTCTATTAAAGAATTTTTTGAATTGCTGGACCAAATTCTTCGAAATCAGTTTTTATTGTTCTATAACTTCAACTAAATTATAATTTTATTATCATAAAATTATTTATTTTGTTTGTGAGCTGTCATTATTTTTATTTTTATTGTTGAATATTTCTTCTAGAAAGTACGTAGTCAATTAGTTAACGATAAAACTAGAGATTGAAAAATATTTAGTACTAAGTTTAAAAATCACAAAACAAATAATGAGTATATTAGTAGTATGGACATGTGGGTAGACTCTATTAAAAGGCCAATTTATTTTTTTCCCGTCTAAGGCCTCAAATTATATTGAGCCGCCCCTGGGTGGCATGTGTATGTAAAAGAATGTAACATATATTAGAAAAGAGGGCAAAGTAGAGCAATACCCCCTAAGGTTTGACAAAAGGACACTCAGAGGAAAGTTTGCCTATTTTGGGACAACGAAACCCCCTCACGTTTGATACAGCTTGTAATGTTACCGATTTTCTATTTTCTGGAATTTATTTGATTTTTTAAGATTATTTTAATTATTTTCTCGTTTTGCGTGCCACGCGGGCCCCGAAGGGTGTTTTGGTCATTTTCTTGAGCAGGGGGTTTTAGAAGTGTGTTTTTAATCATCTTAAGTCAATTAAAAATGACGGTTTCATTTTTAGAATTTTTCAGAAGTCGGGACGATTTTTGGACTCAGAAATTTCTCCCGATTTTCTTATCTTAAGGGTGGGGCATCATCGAAATTTCACATGTGTGTGTGTTTATATTCATGTATGTATGTTGTATCAGTAGTATTAAATGGAGGGTGATATTTTATGGCATGGTTGAAGTTATAAAGAAGTTTAAGGGGGCATTTTTGTCGTACAATAGAAATACTGCTACAAGAATACTATTTAGTATTACTTTATCACCCATCTGGATTCTCTCTCTCTCTCAGAAAATGCAGATGGGTAGAGATGTGTTGTTATTTGTTCTAGTGATTGTTGGGGTGTGCATTGGGTTGGCAGTTGCAGACTGGAACATTTTGAATAGAAGAAGGAAGAAGGTGGCATTAGCTTGAAAAACTACTGCGAGAGCTGGAGGATGAATGTGGAAACAAAGTATATATGTTCACTGAAATAAATAAAATTGATATGAGGAAAACTGCGAGAATGTGTTTGATAAGTTCCCAACTACATTGCAAGCTAGAATTCTCATTTTTCTGTACTATATACCCTACTGGCTGAGCAATGACTCTGCAATGCTTGTCACGTTCTCCTCTGTAAAACCAAGTTTCTTGAATGAATCCAAATAAGCACCACTGGTCCCAAACTCCTCCACCCCAACCACCACCCCTACGCCGCCTACGTATTCCCTCCAACCGAGGGGCGGCCCCGCCTGGACGCTCATCCGCTTTGACACACTCGATGGCAATACAAGCTCCTTATATTCCTTAGGTTGTCTGTCAAAAAGCCTCCAGCACACAAGTGAGACCACCCTCACTCTCCTCCCTTCTTTCCTCAGCAATTTGGCACTCCCCTCGCAGAGACACAGCTCTGATCCGGTACCTATCATTATAATCTCCGGTAGCTCTTCCCCGGAATTGTCACTCATAATATATCCCCCTTTCTCAACTGCATTCGCCGATGTCCCTTCCAGGTTTGCAGCTACCTTTTGCCTTGATAATGCAATAAGACTAGGTACATCTCTGTTTACAACGGCCACTTTATAGGCTCATCAGGCTGCCTCATTGCCGTCCCCTGGACGGAAAACTTTGAAGTCGTGGCACTGCTCGTAGGCCAGCAAGCTGTTATACTGGTTGGTGGGTAGGGCCATCTTCCCCTAGACCAATCGAGTCATGGGTCTTAATGTAGAACAGCTTGTAAGTCGAGTTTGTACCTGGAGGCTCTCGGTTGAGTTTGTACCTGTTGTAACTTCAAAAGTTCTCTCCTAAACAATGTGCGAGTCGAGTTTGTACATGTTGTAACTTCAATGCCGTCTGTCACCACGTTCTCGGGATGACCAGGGTTTCGACTGCCAAGCTTGCACAACAGTTTAAGATCTTCGGTCTGCCTAGTGATGTGACTCACTAAATAAATACATTTTTTCTATTGTGAGGATATAATTAATTAATAATATTGATGACGTGATATCACCAACGCCCGTGAAATAAAGTCATTGTTGGATATAAATGAGATTAAATTTTGGGAATTATTACGATGAAACCAAACGAAGAATCCCGTTTAGCTCGGTTGGTAGAGCGCAAAGGCTTTTAACCTTGTTTGTGGGTTCCACATTATTATTATTATTATTATTATTATTATTATTTTTTATTTTAAATTCCAATTCCAAGTCACTGATTTAATGTTTCTAAATGCAAGATTATAACTTCTTAAATAAATTGAAACTTAAATGTGTAACATCATTTAATTTCTCTATAAAAGACTCTAATTAACATAATACAAAATTTCAAAATTTGAGATAAAATTCCAAATGATATATATATATATATATATATATATATATATATATATATATATATGCTACTGAACAGATTGAAAGCCGGCCAAATGAAGGCAAACATACTAAAGCAAACACCCATGCCCTGCGCTCAAAACAAATCTGTCCCTGTTGAACCACTTGGGGTTTCTAGGGTTGTACCTCATCACATGCCGGTACAGGAAGTAGCCCACCTCGGCCAACCCGAGGGCCATCCCGGGATGTCCGGCACTGGCGTGCTGCACGGCGTCGACGATCAGCATCCTAACGTTGTCGGCGCACCGCTTGTCCACCAATCTCTGAAAGTAGTCTTCCCCTGCATTGTCGTCGTGATCAGTAATGGATGGTAATTCTGATGGGTAAGCTTTTTCGAGCTCCTATTGCCATGAAATTAGCTCATCAGTGTCTTTGGAGACGATCGGAGTGGCAGTACGGTTGGTTTTGAGACTGTTACATAGTGATGGAAATTGTGTGTGTTTACTAAAACTGTTATTTCTGTTGGATGTTTGGGTGGGTTTGGCGGCAAGGTAGAGAGGGAAGGGTTGGGGAAGTGAATTAGAGATGGTCATGTTGCCGACAGAGATGATATATGTTTGATCAGTAGTCTGGTGTAGTGAGATATATATATATATATAGTGATTGTTCTATACGTGTTAGGGGTTGCAGCGGTTGCTTGACTAGTGAAACAGTGAACACACGTGGCGGATTTTAGAAAGTAGACGTGGTAGCCATGCAGAGGATGAAGATGGGGTGATTTTGGGTCGGTGGCATGTGTATGTAAAAGAATGTTATATATATATATATATATATATGTTCTATACGTGTTAGGGGTTGCAGCGGTTGCTTGACTAGTGAAACAGTGAACACACGTGGCGGATTTTAGAAAGTAGACGTGGTAGCCATGCAGAGGATGAAGATGGGGTGATTTTGGGTCGGTGGCATGAGTATGTAAAAGAATGTTATATATATATATATTTGTTAGGGTTAAGTGCATTAAGTCCCCTCAAATTGCAAAAACAAACTTCCTTCAACTAAAAAAATATTAGCTCTTAACTAAAAACCTGAAATTACCATTTTGACCATTAATTAAATTACTTACTTTTGTGTGATATCCACTTTAATTAATTATTGTTGACATGGCCATTGTAATTTCCATGTCCAATGAAAATTTCACAACTCATACAATCTTATTAATGATTTTGCTGACTTGGGAAAAAAAAAAAAAAATTGCCCTCCAAAGACATCTCAATTAGTAATTTTAAAATATTAAAAAAAAAAATTGTTTATATTCCCTCCCAAACAAACCACCACCACCGCCCATAGAATCCACCACCGCCTCTCCCTCTCTCTACAATCCACCCCTAACTTTCCTGCAAAATCAGAGAAAACAAACCCTAACGCCGCTGTGCTCAATTTAGGAATTGCTGCTAGTCAACTGCACTTCTCCATCACTTCTTTACTATTGTTCTTTACTATGGTCACCCACGGACGCGTCACAAATTCAGTATCAAAAGCCCCAAAATCTGTTGTCGCATATCACCAAACTAATTCAATTGCAACAGCCCAAAAATATGTGCTATGTTTTCAATCAATTCCCCTCTAAACACCGACCTCTGCAACAAAATCATATCTCTGTTGAATGATTTTCCGCTTCTTCGTTGGTTTTGTCGTCGTTGTAGTTGGAGGTCAAAGAGGGAAAAAACAATTAGTGAGGGAGGTGGATTGCAGAGGTGGCGTTTGCGGACAACTTTGTGGGGGAGAGAGAGCGGTCTGGAGGGTTCAGGCATCCCAATTAAATGAAATGATGGATGGACGGTCCAGGCATCCCAATTTCA